AAATAATTTGCTCATAATTAAGATTAAGATATCACAAAAATAACTAAAGCTTAAGCATCAAAATCCACAATCCCCTTGTGATAACATATAATTTTTCTTGGTTTAAAGGATCCTTTCATTCAGGTTAGTGTTCTTCAACGAAACTTGTGTGTTTTGAATCTACAATTTTGCATTCTACAAATGGATGATATTGGAATAGATCAACAAAGTGACACAAGATCAACATGAAATATGTATCATGCAATACACATATTAGTCGGTCGTAAATACCCAGCACTGTGTGCTGGTGCCAACAATTGAGGAAAACAATTATTGTCATAAGAATTATTGAGGAAAACAATTATAATCAAACAAAAGAAAATATGCCAGATGCTAACTTTTTATTGTCATAGTACGTAACTCCATCAAAACAAATATTTATTGAAGGAACCAAGAAAATTTCTTTGTTGCATAATCCTGCCTATCTCTTTGGCTAGCAAAAAAGTTAGCTGAGTATCAATAATTGCTCATGATACATGGGGGGCTTTCATACAGATTATTAGAATTAATTACACGCTTAGGCATAAAGTAATCCTTGAGGATTTCTTGACGTATAGAGTAGGAAGACACTATTGACGACTTGTACGTATTTCATCAGTATCTGAGAGAACCACCATACTAGATGCGGCCTTTTATTGTTATGTCTAACAAATGACAAACCGTATAGCAACAATTAATGGTGCTGTAATATTACCAAATAAATGGAGGTAGAGAGAGAGAGAGAGAGAGAGCTGTGTATTAAGCATAATCGCAGATGCCGTATATACAATATCCACCCGGCATGCACTTTTTGTTTCAAAATCCACAGTGCCTCTTATCAAACGAAAGATTAACGCATCGCCCGTTGCAGCAAGCTTCAAACGGCAAACACTTGTTTTTGCATGCTCCACAATTGTAAGCATCGTACACCAAATCCACGCATTTGTTGTTGCAGCATGTAGAATTTCTCCCTTCTTCACCCGGGATGTTGCCACAAATGTCATTATGTTTCTTGCAATGATCAGCTGCTCTGGGATTCTTTGGCTTCGGTTTTTGAGCTAGGAAACGGCTTAACCTTTTGGACGGCATCAATATCTTCCCCCGTTCGGAATCCGAGTTCTTGTCGTTCTTCATTACTGATTCTTCGGCAGTGTTTTTCATGGTGACTAGAGTTATGGCTAGTGCCATGGCTAGGGCGACCGTGAAAATGAGCCCGATCGCCTTCATGGTCCGTGCAGGCCGTGAGGTAGAAGGGAGGGCAGGGAAGGAGTGTGGAGGTCTTCGCGGTTGTTAATTCCTCGTTTGGGAGAGGAATTCTTGAGTGAACTTGTTGGGAAGACTGAGCGTTCATGGGGGTGATATGTAGAGGGGTGCAGTTGACGCGGAAAATGTGGTAAAAGTAGCAAGGGATTTGCTGCAAAGAGTATGGTCGAATTCTAGGAATATTTCTATTTTCTATCTCTCAAGATATGCCGCCAGTGATTTTGGGGCTGCCACAATTTTTTTATTTGGCAGCTCTTTTGTTACGTCAAGACCCTTTTGCCTCCAATTAAAATATCTGTTCTCTTTTTTATTACAAAAAGTATTCTTAATTATTTTAAAATAAAAATTTAAAAAGAAAAGAAAAGATAAATGCTAAAAGGGGCACTAGAAAAAGATTAGTTTTGAACACGAAAAGGAATTTAATTAGAGGCAAGCTTTTTGGATAACAAGACGAGAAGCAAGCTCAATCGCTGGAGATTCACACTAGTCAGTTTTGTTTATTCTTAAAAGGGGTAGAACTGAAATTTTATCTGCATGTTAGCACTGGGGCAACATGCAATGATGCAGTGAACATTTATCAGAAATAGAGAGGAGGCAAGAAGAAAACTGGTAAATGCCTGCTGGACGAAGCAAAGGGAAATTATGAAATGGAAAAAGTTCAAAAGCATTTCATGAGGCGGAAAACATCGTGCTGATCAATAGAGTGCATTTGCAGACCAAAACTTTAGCTGGAAGTTGGCTTTGGGTTTTCCGCAAGATTCAGAGGGTTCAGATTACAATTCAGATTCAAGAATCATATGGCCGAAGAAGTCAACCAACAATCAGAATATCTCTGAGACAGGAACTGCTTGCACGTATATATATTGAGCAACGAGGAATTATGCATCATATTCCTGTCTCATCCACCTAAAATTTTGCGACCATCCATTTGCAACTGGTCATATTGCTCTCATTCTGCTCAAGTTACCAATATTGGATCTCTACTGTTTTCTCTTTGCTTTGTCTATGGTTTGAATCTTCTAACTCAACTGGTGTCAAAAAGTTTATTTTCTTTTGGGATTTGGAAGAGGAGAATTGGTAATGAATATTCATTAATTGTCACGACCACTAAATTCGGGCAGAAAATTTTCGAACCAGGATCCCATTGTGTACCATAAGTCAATGAAATCCCATCTTCGTATTTTATCTTTTTCTGCATTTTTTCATTTTGTATTTGACCACCACCAGGTGATTTGGTCTTTTGACTTTTGCGTAAAACACTGTAACATCACGGGCTATTTAGCTTCCTTTCATCTGACTCTAGCAGAGTTTAACGTGTATTGACCATAACCATGATGCTAATTTAAGTTAATAACGTCAAATTCTTTATATATATATATATATATGTATGTATGTATGTATATATATTCCAAGGGCACCGATGAAGTGCAAGTTGGGTTGACCACAGATAAAGAAATTTAAGTCAAAAGTTTTCTTTTTTTCCTTTAACATGAAAAAATGAATGTCAACTAAAGAACTATTTTCCAGTTTAGTAGTCCTAATTTAGTAGTCCCACCACGTCGATTTTGGGAGGGGCTTGGGTTGAGTAGTTAAATCACTGGATTGCTTTCAAAAGTTGCTGATTTTGGAGGTTAATCTGAGATCAGGATTAATTATTTCAACAAAAGTCATATACTGGAGTTGAAAAAAACTAAAGAACCATCTCATCCTTATACGTCGGGGTGGCAGCCATTTTAACCCATCTAGATTAGTGTGCATGTAACTTAGCAGGTTGAATCTTTCTGGTTCAGCGTCAATTACCGCCGTCAGTGTAAAACTAACTGTAATAGTCTACTGGAAATCTAGAAATGCCGGTTACTCGGAACTCTAGTCTTTAGCAGGTGTACAATTTCATGTTTTGCCTCTTTATCTTTATCCAATAATCATAGAGGAGGGTAATTCAAGTTTTAATAAGATTCAGAAGCAAAAATAAAAAATAAAAACAAAAAAAAACCGTAAGTTTTAGATAGTCAGTTTTAATATTGATTACATATCAGAAATTATGGGAGAAAATTAAGATACACTTTTTTAATTCCTTCTTTTTTCAACCATGTTGCAACAAGATCGGAATTTTTTTAGCAAAATTTTTTGGGGAAAATGATCAAAAGAGTCTACCACATTTAAAAAAAAAAAAACTTTTTAAGTCCCTTACATATAATAATAAATACTTAAAATTGGTTTCGAAATCTATTTCTGCCCAAATTTCTAGTCAAAAAATGCAAACTTGAGTCACGTATTCATACTTTTAGTAAGAAGAAGAATAATTTGTGTGGGTTTTTTTTTTATATTTTAAGGTGTGTATTTTAAAAATGTTGAGGAGTTTTTAAAAGTTCTTATAGTTAAAATTGTTAAATAATTAGTAGAAAATATTATTCTTGTTTTTATTTTGCGGTTGAAAGTATTGGACATGTATCTTTTGGCTATAAATTTGGTAGGAAATATGTTCTAGGATCAAATTGATATTTGTTATATGTGAAGAACCATTTTCCAAGGTTTTATATGTAAGGAACAAAAAGAGAATTTTATTGAAATATGAGGGACTATTTTGATAATTTTTGCTATCTTTTTGAATGATTTTTTCGACCCATCAGCCATTCTCGAATGATGTCAATGTCAATAACCTTATTATAGGAAAAAATGACTGTCAGTAAACATTTAATTTTAAGTAGCTACTCACTCAATAAGATGGTATCAAGCGGGATTCGGTGCTTCTTTCTCTAGTTGAGGTTCTATGACTTCTATCTAATTTTGCCTAGCTGCGTAAAATGGTATAATTTCAATATAAACTAACATATGTTCGGTACAATTATGAGTTTTACATCAATTTAATTATAACTCACATTTAGACCAAAATTATACCAATATACAATATTAAAATTCTATTAGTTTACACAATTGGACTCTGGACAGAACTGGTCACGTGGTCGATGGAATCCAGTCGATTCGAGCACGAGTGAAATGTTTTATATGGCTCAGAGCTTAATTAAAATTCGACTCTAATTTTTTGTTTTTGGCTCAAATGCAATTTTAGTTTAGAGTTGGATATTACGGATACAATTAAATCGATATGCAGATTAAAGATGTAATATTGGTGTGAAGTTTTATTAAACTTGACCAGTTTAAGCTACTGTTCAATGTAGATAGGTTTATTCAATGCACACACGATAATATGTGTGAACAAATCTAAAATATATGAAACTCAATTAAGCTGAGCAGCTTGTGATTTGAGTATAGATGAATTAGTGGTCCCGAGTGAAAATCATGCAGAAGTTTATTTTGATTGCTTGAATTTGTACCTATTATGCTCTACTCCAAGTATCATTGCGTCCGTTTTAACTGCGAATGACGGAATTGGTAGCCATTGATTTCGTCAATAAAGCAAGAAATTTATAGTGTTTTTGGAAAAAAATATATTATGGGGACATGATGTATACGAGGCATGGAAGTGGAAGTGATTGAAAAATATGTTACGAAAATTTGTAATCTAAACAAAATCATACACTCAAATCATGTGTGAAATCTAACTTATTGCGGTCATTAACATATATATAAAAGAGGGAATGCCATGCCTCAAAGTGATGTTTGTGTTGCTGATGTGGCAAAATGTGGTTGGCTAAAGAGTGTTCGTCCAACTTGGTAGCTTACCTTTCTTATATTCCCATTTGGTTTTCTTTTCCATTCATTCTTTCTTTCTAACTACACTAGACTAGAAGACTAAAGAAGATTACAAGCCGAAGAAAGAGGAGAAGAAACGGGAGTCCGGCTGGCCCGCGTTGCAGCAGGTGTGCGTGTGATTCGTCAGGTTGAATGACAAGGGTTGGTGCTGGGCTCAATGATGGCCAGTGAAATTATAATTTTACCCTTATTGCTCCTCAAATTTTACAAACTCTATTCAAAAGAATCTTTCTTTTGAATGCCCTGTGAGTGTAAAATAGACTCCACCGTCCCTGTACACGCCTGACAAAGAACAACTTTCCACCGTCCCTGTATCTCTCCCTCATCTTCTTCTTCATTGGCCTTTCTTCCTCTTGATCATCCGCATCTTCCTTCCCCGCCATTTTTTTCTTTTTTTTTTTTTTTTTAAATATTGATTGAACAAACAAGATTGCTTCCACCTATTATTCTATGGATCTTAATCTTGTTGGGAACTTTCACATTAATGTATGCTTGAACTACTCTACACTTTGCGCGGATGAAACCAATAAAAACCAAATGAAGTTCAAAGGAGTTAGCTGAGGTGAAAATTTCCTCTTTTTTTTCCATGTTGTGCCCAATTTCCATATTTTTCTTTCTTAGCTATACATAAAATTTATTTTTTTGTCCTGATAGCTGCCACTGAGATGAAAAGGGGAAACAATTGCTAGGACAGCCTTTAGGTAGATTTTGCTTTTCTTTATATGTTTATTTTTTTTAAGATCAGTTTTTATTCTTCTGATTTTATCTGGTAGTTATCGAATATTTTCTTTCTTTTTTTTTCAGGTTTTTTGGTTGTACAAGTGCTTGCTTCATGGTAACTGGTAAGTATACGAAAGAATTAATGCGTTCTATTTTTTTCCCTTCCTTTCCGTTTCTTTCTTGACTACTCACTCCGTTGTTTAGAGTATTTTTTTGGAATGTCATTCTCATATCTTGCCCAATGGAATTTTTCTTTGATGTCTAATGCTTTGTGTGGTTAGAAATTTAGGATCTGATACATAATTGTTTATCTCCATTGTGCGCAAAGTTCCATGTGTTTTAGTGATTACTAAGGTTCCAAGAATTGGATATTTTTCTCTCTTTTTTTCTGCTTTTGGAGTTAGTTGTTTAAGTATTTGCCTCGTTTGCATTGCTAATTTGCTATTGTCCTCTAAAAAAAAAAAAATTCACAGTAGCCAAGAGGTGTCCTCTCAAATTCTGGTTTTGGGTTTTGCTTTAGAGTGTAGTGTGTCGCCTATCATCTAATGCTGGATCTGTTGCATGCATGGTCTTAGTTTTTTTGCTTAATGATGTGCCTGCTGAATCTGTAGTTTCCAAAGCCGTGTCATGTAAGTTGTAAGCTTGTTTAAATTGATTTAATAGTTCTATTCTTCTCACAGGTCATTGGAATTATAAGCATTAAGAATAACTTCAGCATGAGGCAATTGGCACATGCATGGATGATTTCGTATTTCAGTTTTGTCTTTGTGTTCTCATACTAATGGTGCTGTTATATTCATCATCATTGGCTATTTTGTTTTTTGTCTGCAGGTTCTGCTCTTCGTCGGTGAATATCTAGGTACTTTTTCTGCAGCTCCTGTAGTTATATATATAATTTTTTACCCTTTTTTTTTTGTGTTTTTGTACTAATGATACAGCTTATTTGATACACATAGTTTCGCTGAAAATGCTATAAGTACTAAAATATCTATCTCATTCCACAGAACTACACAACATCTGCTTGGTGGTTAACTTTCTCAGCCACCTGATCTATGCATGACTTTTAAAGGGAAAGCATTAGTATTAGCTCACTTTGCAATAGTATTTGAGCTCTGTAGTCTTGATTGTTCTCCTCTAATAGACTCCAAAAAATCACCAAAAGCTGAATTTACTCAAGGTCATTGTTTCATCCTTTTTTTTAGGGTCTTTTCATCTTTCCATCTATAGAGTCCTTTAAGTTCTTTAAAAGTAACAATGATCAAAGTTAAAATGAACTACAAATGATGAAGAAACTTGAATATTTAAGCACCCAGAGGCACCACCTGCTTCTTTATATCTGACTTTTTCCTCTTCTTCTGACGCTTCTTTGACACAGAGATCTTAACCTTCTCTTCAACTGAAGATTATATGTTTTAATTTCTTGTTTAGTTATTTAGTTTTGCTGCTGCTAATAGTCTTATTTTCCATTTATGTCATATTTTGATTTTTGTTTAGTAGATTGAGGAAAAATGCAAGAAAAATCCACAAGAAGAGATAGATTTAACTTTTTAGGCTCAGTTCTTTTTTTCTCCCCAATTATCTTTGCAGCTCACCTGAAATTCAGCTTTCAAGTTATATTCTATTCATTGGTTTTCACAAAGTAGCTATAGGTATTATTTCGTAGTTTTGCCTTTTATCTTTACTATTGCCTTCTTAACACGGATGGTTATGCATCCAAGTTATACATGGTATTGGGAGATCCTGTTTGAATTGTGCTTGGAATAGATGTCTTTGTCATTACTTTTCCATTGCAGTAGTTGTGACTTTGTATTTAGAGTATGCATAGAGTGGTGTAGTTGCATTTACAAGTGTGGTTAACACTTATTGCTAAAATGCCTTATGGGTGTCTGAGTTTTGCAGCGGAACCAAAAGTTTTTATGTTGTAATTTGCTTCAGTCCAATATTGAGTTTTTGGTTGAACTTACCATGTCTGGTGTATCAAATTCCAAAAAGTCCTTGCTCTTAAATTACATTTGTGCAGTGCAAGAAATTCTGTTACACAATGAGGAAAAAGTGATTGCCAAAAGTGTGTATATTTGGCCATACTCTTAACTGTGATTATTTTTTTGGGCCATCTCACCTTTTGTTCAATTTGTTGTATGGGTTCCAGATTTATACTTTTTCCTCCATTTATTTGTCTCAAACATTCTGTGAAGAAGGCATTCAATGGAAAATCATATTGTTTCTTAATGTTTATGTGCCATCATCCGGTACAAGAAGGAAAGATTTTTATGTATGGAGGGATTATACTTGGTTCAGAGCCCATGATTGCAATTTTTTTTCTTTTTTCTTTTTGGGTTTTTTTGAGTATCCAAAACTGATCTGGTGTTTTTAATAGGTATTTTGTGTTAAGCTGATTGCTGGTAGTGATAGGAGGGAAGCTGCTTATATTATTCTCACTAGCTTTAAGGCTACTTAAGTTTGTTCTATGTTTAGCCTTTTTCTACTTAATTAGGTATGTTTAGTCATTTGATGTATTGTTGTTTACTTAATGTTTTTTTTACCATGAGATCCTTGTAATTTTGTAGTCTCTGAATTTTTTAGTAAGAAATTTTCATTTATTGCAGATTATTTAATATTTGATTTGAAATTCATTTGTTAGCTTGCTTATATGCAGTTTCAATGTATTGATGTATTTACCTTTTGGTTCATAGTTTGCTTTAGTATTGTAATTATTGGTCCTGCGGAAAAGAATGATTCATTTACAGTGGCTCATGTGCAATTTCTTTATTATCAATGCAAAAAAAAAAAAATCACCACTTAATAGCTACCAGTGCGGCATTCATTGAAGATAATGCACGCATGGTGGTAAACAGACTGATTTTGTATTCTTCAGGGTTTTTCCCCCTGAATAAGAGAAATTTTTCCCTTCCCTAGATTCTTAAATGTATATGCTGATAGGATTTAGATTATCTCCTAATTGCGTTCTTTTGTTTATTTGATAGATAGTTTCCCTCAACAATTGAAGGTTACGAAGCTGGAATAGAAACTCCCAGGGGGTTGATACATGTACATTTGCTTGTGAAAGTTAAAAATGACATATTGAATAGTTGTGGCTTGTAATTTTCTTTGCCTTTCTACTCTTGAATGATGAGTTGGACTGGGGCAATTTCTTTTCTGGCCTGTTCTTCCTTTTTTTTTCCCGGCTCTCTTAGCTCTTCAAAGAGCCTATTACTTTGGTTATTATCATAGCATGGTTAGGTTACACAATTTGTTTCGCCAATTTAATGGGTAGATTTTACAAACTTACTTTTCGTCTTTGCATTTTAATCTTGATAACACCTCATTAATGTTTCAAAAACTAGAAGATCAATTTTTTAGCAAATGCTTTTACATTTTGAGCATTATCATTTAATTACATGGCTTTGTTCTAGAAGTGTTTGTGAGCAAGTTGGGTAAAGCAGAGTTGACGATTGAACTATGTGGTTCATTGCCTACAATAGCAGTCTATTCTGCCCGTAGTAATTGTAAGACCAAACAGCCAAGTTTGATCTAATAATTGTTTGTTTATACTTTTATGGGTTTTTTTAATATTATTGACAATATCTTACTTGAGCTTTTATTTCGTATGTGAATTTGCCAAATGAGATTTTTAAAGCCCTTTTTCTATGGTTACTCATTATTGGTGAAGTTATTTTTTCTGTGTATGTAATATATAGTTCTTGGTATCTCAATGTTATAGTATTCAAATGTGAAAACAGTTTGAAAAAATGGAAGGAATATCTACTGAAAGGAGAAAAAATTTTAACTTTTCAGGTTGTGAATTTTTTTTGATTTATTTCCCTGTCATTTTTCCAATTTTACACTAGATTGGACCTTCAAGTTTCTGCTTCCTTTTCACTTCTGAAGTTTTTAATTTCTTGCTTGCTTCTTTAGTTTTGCTGCTCCTCATAATCTTAGATTGCTGCCTATTTGATAGATTGAGGAAAATCACAAGGAAATACTAAAGGGAGGAGAAAAAGATTTAGCTTTTCAGGTTATCGTCTTTTCTTTTTATTTTGTGGTCATCTTTCTAGATTACCTTAACTTTGAATTTCAAATTTCTGATTTTTGTGCTATTTAGTGGTTTTCACGAAGTGTCTGGTGGGTGTTGAAATTGTTAATTTTACCAATTCTTTTTTTTTTAAACTATTGCCTTCTCAAGATGAATTGTTATGCATCTGAATCATATATGAAGTTGGGAGGTTCAGTTTGATGTACTCTTGAGGTGGATATCTTTTCTCATAATTGTTATGCATTATACTCGTGTTCTATCATTTGCCATGCTGAATTTATCAATCATTCTAATATAGTCTTTGATAGCCATATATTGAGGGTTTTTTTTAAAATAATGTAGGTTATTCTTCTAGAAGCTGTGGATGTTGAAGAAAAGGCAAACAATTATCTAAAGGAAGAAATAGTTGAAAGAGATCAATCAATATTGCTTCATTTTTTCTAGACATATATATGTTTTCTCACCTTGTAGTTTTTGCTGATTCTCTAGGCTTTTAGATCAAATATTTTGCTAAATGAATGATGTAAAAGAGGACTAACAGTTTGATTGGATGCTTAAAATGTATTTTCGATTGAGCATAGAGTAGTTATTACTATTATAATTATTACTGCAATTCAAAGGGTAATTTGTTAGCCATGTTTTCCCTTAAAAATGCTACTGCAATTCAAAGGCTAATTATTACTGCATAATATTATGTGTCTGATTGGATTCCTTAAAAATGTATTGATAACAAGGATTTCACAAATTTCATTCCTTGACTTTCTCCAAAATTGTATCAACCTAATAATTGTCAGTGCTTCGTAAATTTCTCATGTGAGTCTTTTCCTGTTTCTCTTGAAGCTCATCATGGCATTTGCTTATGTAGTTGTGTTTTGACTTGTAGCTTTACTATTCGATATTGGCTGCATAGTTTATAATGAAAATTCAGACTACTTGGCAGTTTTATGGTCTACCTTGTATTAATTTGTTTGGAATGGAAAAGTATAATATTATTTCTTTTCTTTTTACTAATAAAGAAAATAATAAGATACCGACTTGTTTGAATTTGAGGAATTCTAGCTGGTTTTGAGGCTGTAAATATTGGCCAATGTGCAGTATAAAAGAAAATTATTTCATATCTTATCTTTGTTTTTGAGTTGCTTACAAGGTTACAGCTTGCTCTAGACAGTTCTTTTTTTTTTTTTTCCAATGTTGTCTCCCCTTCTACTTCATTCTTTGTTCTGTTGCTATATTCTTTTCTCCCTTCCTCCTCTGAATGCCAATCATATTTTCTCTCCTTCCTCTCCCTTTCATGAAAAGTTTCTCCTATACTTTATTTTAGTGGGTTGTTCTAATTTTTTGTTGTCCTTGGGCTAAGAGCATCAAAGTTAAGTTGAAAATTTTTAGAAACTTCCTTTTGTCCTGCTTTATTGAGAAATCTTCTTGATTCTTTTGCTCTCCTATACGAAAACTTGCCAAGTTAGATTTTGGAGCAGATGTTTGCACTTAAATTTAGTTAGGTTTTAGTTGTACATAACGTCGAAACTGAGAGTAAATTTTGCTTGGAAACCATTCACGAGTTTTTTGCATGTGGCAAACCTCTTATTTTCATTTAGCAATTTAGCTTGCATCTTTTGAAACAGCATGAGACTACTCCAAATGATAGTTGTGACTTGTGAGATTGACTTGCATGATGTGAAGGATATATTAGCAGTCATCTATGCCCTTGCTATTGCACGGTATATGTAGATCCATTTGATTGGTCTTTTTCTTGCATGCAGTTTTAGTTAAAAATTTAGGTATCAGAACTCATCGGATCATAATCTTCTTATTCAGATATGAGAGTTAAAGCAAAGGAGCTGGGACTGTTAGCTGAGTCATATTTGGAGGGAATGCAATCAATATACAAATTGATTGGCCAAGTGCAGCATTTATGGTCCATTAGGTTTACAAGTTCTTGATGACATCCCTGCAGAGATGCCAGATTTGTTGGAAGCGTATGTGTTAGCAGTTGCTTATTCTCATTTTGTTTCTATTTAAGAGATTATGACCTCTTCCAATGTACCCAAAAAAGAAAAAGAAAAAGAAAAAAAAATGAGGTTTCTTTATGATGTATATCCTTGATACTTTTTGGAGGATTTTATTGTTCTTTTGATTGGCTTTATCCCATAATGCTGTAAAACCTCTTTAGCATCAAAGCTGTGCAAAAATTGTGAGGTCGCCTTCCTCAAAAACTCAAAAGACAAGATATGTTGAGAAAGAGTTTTTAATTATGTTAATTGATGCATATATGTGACTGTTGATGCTTTTTTAGAATGAGATTTCATTCGTAAATTTTGAGGACAGCACAATATAATTTGTATGTTGGGTCAATGGCCAGTTGTGTATGTTCTAATCATGTTTTTCTTGCCTTTTTTTAAAAGGTATTGTATAATAATTTTCATCTCTTGAATTTCATATTTTTACAATTTTGAACTAATTATATATAATTTCTAAGAATACAACTCTAAATATTTTGTTTATCATTTACATCTGTTACATAATAATTTGAAAATTAAGTGGGTATAATGGGGCGTTTATCCACCGCGCATTCGCGCGGCGAACCTCTCCTAGTAGCATATCAAGGGGATTTATCCCTTCATTTCTACGTCTTCCCGTCAACCAAACGGAGTCAAAACTCTTCACTTCCCTTCCTTGACGGTAAAACCCAGAACCGGAGTTGGAACGCCAAGAACTCTCGGATTCACACACTCGCTAGTGTCTTGCGCGCTAAATTTCCTGGATGGAGCTCGAGTTCAGACATAGAGATTATATAACAGAGGAAAAGGCTTACTCTCTCCCTCGTCTACCTGCAGGAACTCATCCTCTGTCCACTTCCCCTGAAACGCTTCAGCAGGTCTTTTAAACATTTTTATCTTCCCCATCTTAAAGTTTGAAAAATCTTGAATTGAAATAAGAAGAATCTGCTAGAATTATGGTCCAAAATTGAATCTTTTATGTACTCTTAACTAAATTTATCTGGCTACGATATGACAACTTTGCTTGCTTGGACTCAAAAAGTGAGTTTCTGGTGGACTTCATTGAATGCCTGTGCCCAAAACGCTTAATCTCCCTATGTTTTCTGATTGTTTTTGAGGTTGTCTACTTCAATGTGCAAGTCGGAATATGGTTTTTAGGTTCTCTTGTTTTGTTTTGTTATGTTATTTAAGTGTGAATGATAAAATGGAAGACGATTTGGAGAGAAACGGGAAGCTCTATGAATTAATCATAGAGCGCGACTTCTTGTTGGTAATTATCGAAGAAACAATTGAACATTTTAGTTGAAATTTTGTGGGATAGAATTAAAACGATCGGATTTGCCACCTTGTGTGATAGAATTAAAGGGATGGGATTTGCCACCTTTGAGAGTTTTTACGTCTCGCTAGGATAGGTGGTGATGCACAAATCAAGTTGGATTACAGTCAAAGAAAGATTAGATAATGGCTTTTGGTAAATAATCCCCATCAATATGATCCATAATCAGTGCATAAAGTATAAGCTATGCTTAAGTTCAACAGCTTGTCAATTTCACGTCTTCAATGAGGAATGTTGTCTTTTTTTTTCTTGTTCTAACCAAATCTTCTTAACATTTGTTTGATCCTTCGTATAAAATATGCTGATGGTACTTAGGAATCTGTTAAAGGTTGATTTGGTGCATAAGGAGAAGGAAGAAAATGATTTTTTTGATCCACTTAGGAAGATCAATGAGAAAAAGGAAGTTTCTTTTGAGGATTTTCAAGATGAAGAGATTACAGGAGGACCGTCCAATGAAGCTTCTGTCCAGTCTTCTTCCAAGGAATGGACTTCTTTTAAGAAAATCTTGATGCAGAGATTTTCTGCATCTAAGAATATCCCGTTATCTTCAGTAAGTCTTTTTTTTGGGGCTTTTTAAGCTTTAATTAAGAATGTAATTTTTGTATGTTTGTTCATGTTTTCCCGTGGTATTTGTATTATTTAGGGACTAGTTCTATAAATTATTGTCTATAAGAAAGGTAACTCTCCACAACTCATTGTAGTGTTGGAAGCTCGGCAAGAAATAACCCGGATCTTTTTTTATTAGGATCTTATGTTTGCAAACTCAGTATGACATGCTTGGATTTTCATGCATTTGTCTATGGTGAAACAACTGCATACAAACCTCACAGGTTTTGCATTATTAGACATCTGCGACTTAATTAGTCTTTCGAAATGCTGGATGAGTTATAAACATCATATCTTGCTATCCTCAAGACCTATGAGACATAAGTTTTGTTTGCAGGGCTGTTATACCCTTCTAAAAGAATGGCAGATGTAGTCTCATCTACAGCTTAGGTACAATTTGTGTAATTTAAATGAAGAATATTAACTTAGTTAAAAAAGAGGAATATTGCCAGTCCCCTACTCCGCCACTCCCATGTCATCTTAACAAGCATGATGCCATTTTGATCTTCTGCATAAGAGTTCTATTTCAATTGGTAAATGTTTACCGGCCACATTTTGCAGATTTCAAATGCAATTATGAAGACTGGAAAGGGTATGATGCATCTTGTATTGGCTTTTTTATTCTGTACCTAGAATAAGCTTATTGCTCCCAGGGGTAAGGCTGTACAAAACCTAATTCTTCCAAGACCCTGCATTTATAGGAGTTGCAATTGCTTGGTAATCAGTTTTCTACCCCTTCCTTTTCTTTTGCTGGAGCTTAAGTGTCTTTATTGTTCCTGAAGGACCTTTGGATTGTAATGGCAAGGTAGCTTATCTTTATTAGCATTCAAATTTCTTTTAAACTTTGTGGTGTATAAATATTTTGCAGTAACTGACAAATCACCTGTGGATTCACATTTGGAAGAACTGGATGATCCTCAAAAATTTACAGAAGAAGGTCTTAAAGTTATAAGTCAGAGGGAATATGTTTTACGTTTATATGAACTCAAAGATGAGATTGCGCTTTCTTGGAGTAAAAAGGAGCATGTGACATCTTTGAAATTGTGCATCAGGGTGAGCTTTATTGTTTTGCAAATCGTTTTAGCCGTATTTGATGCTAATTTTTGTCAACTATTATCATAAAACTATACGAAGTAGTGGAAGTTTTTATAACAACATTGAGGAAGTCTTTTGTCCTGTCATTCGAGAACTCAGACTACAGTTGCTTCAGTAAATGGGTGTGGTTTATATCCTCTGTTTATGCTAGCCTTTTCTTATTGGGGCTGACAAAAACAGCTGGAACAAGGGAAACAAAGCTGAAGCTTTATAGTAACAAAACTACTTTCCTGAAAGTAAAGATTATTTGCTCACCTTTCTTCGAGAAACTTTCTTTGGGCACTTGTTAAATGAGGATACCTGTCCTTTTTTTTTTTTTTTTGCTAATGTCTCTGGCACTTGATAAGTAATTTTAACCTGTACTGCAACATATTAACATGTA